CAATGTCGGTCCAACCAAATTTATGGTTAATATGAAAGCACAATACATTTCTATTTGTACTGAGTTATTAAAATTTGATCCCACTAAAAGTAAGCACATTTTAAGGGCTCAATAAATTTCTTGTTCATATAACTAAATAACAAGTTATTCTAATAAAATATTTATATGGGCCAACTATAAATTAATCGTGTCCCTACATGAACCATATTTTAAGTGGGATCAACTATATATATTTTCTCTCTAGGAGGACGGTATTCGAATCAATGGTATAGATATATCAAATAAATGTTTTATGTGGAATACACATAATACATTAAGGAAAAAACACTTTTTTTTTTTTAAATAATTCTAAGTTTTAATTTTCCTTTTTAAAAAACATTTACAATTACTAAATTTGCAAACTTATGTGTCAAAAAAATATTCAATTGAATATAATATACATTATATAACAAATGTTATTCAAACTATACAATAGAAACAGATTTATTAAAGTATGACGCAAATGGCAATAGTATTTGGAAAACAACAGCACATAATACAATGTTTCTAAAAACACTTGAGCCGGATGAATTATATCTTTGACAGTAAACAATTTTAGTTAGCTATGCATGAAAATATTGTTAAAAATATTTAATATTCCAAATATTTCGAACACAATTATTATTTCAAAATGTTGAAATATAATTTAACCTATAAAATAAGGTGAATAAGTTACGTTCTACAAAAAACAATGTCCGTCTAATCAAATTTATGGTTAACTTGAGGGCACAATACATTTCTAGTTGTACTGAGTTATTAAAAATATGATCCCACTAAAAATACGCATATTTTAGGGACTTAATACTATTTTAGTTTATATATCTAAATAACAAGTTGTTCAAATAAAATATTTAATTGGGCCAACTATAAATTAATCGTGTCGTTACATGAACCATATTTTCAGTGGGATCAACTATATATTTTTTTTCTCTAGGAGGACGGTATTCAAATCAATGGTATAGATATATCAAATAAATGTTTTATGTGGAATACACATAATACATTAAGGAAAAAACACTTTTTTTTTTTAAATAATACTAATTTTTAATTTTCCCTTTTAAAAAACATTTACAATTACTAAATTTGCAAACTTATGTGTCAAAAAAATATTCAATTGAACATAATATACATTATTTAACAAATGTTATTCAAAGTATATAGAAACAGATTTATTAAAGTATGACGCAAATGGCAATAATATTTGGAAAAAAACAGCACATAATACGATGTTTCTAAAAACAATTGATCCGGATGAATTATATCTTAGACAGTAAACAATTTTAGTTAGCTATGCATGAAAATATTGTTAAAAATAATTAATATTCCAAGTTTTTCGAACACAATTATTATTTCAAAATGTTGAAATATAATTTAACCTATAAAATAAGGTAAATAAGTTACGTTCTACAAAAAACAATGTCGGTCCAACCAAATTTATGGTTAATATGAAAGCACAATACATTTCTATTTGTACTGAGTTATTAAAATTTGATCCCACTAAAAGTAAGCACATTTTAAGGGCTCAATAAATTTCTTGTTCATATAACTAAATAACAAGTTATTCTAATAAAATATTTATATGGGCCAACTATAAATTAATCGTGTCCCTACATGAACCATATTTTATGTGGGATCAACTATATATATTTTCTCTCTAGGAGGACGGTATTCGAATCAATGGTATAGATATATCAAATAAATGTTTTATGTGGAATACACATAATACATTAAGGAAAAAACACTTTTTTTTTTTTAAATAATTCTAAGTTTTAATTTTCCTTTTTAAAAAACATTTACAATTACTAAATTTGCAAACTTATGTGTCAAAAAAATATTCAATTGAATATAATATACATTATATAACAAATGTTATTCAAACTATACAATAGAAACAGATTTATTAAAGTATGACGCAAATGGCAATAGTATTTGGAAAACAACAGCACATAATACCATGTTTCTAAAAACACTTGAGCCGGATGAATTATATCTTTGACAGTAAACAATTTTAGTTAGCTATGCATGAAAATATTGTTAAAAATATTTAATATTCCAAATATTTCGAACACAATTATTATTTCAAAATGTTGAAATATAATTTAACCTATAAAATAAGGTGAATAAGTTACGTTCTACAAAAAACAATGTCCGTCTAATCAAATTTATGGTTAACTTAAGGGGACAATACATTTCTAGTTGTACTGAGTTATTAAAAATATGATCCCACTAAAAATACGCATATTTTAGGGACTTAATACTATTTTAGTTTATATATCTAAATAACAAGTTGTTCTAATAAAATATTTAATTGGGCCAACTATAAATTAATCGTGTCGTTACATGAACCATATTTTCAGTGGGATCAACTATATATTTTTTTTCTCTAGGAGGACGGTATTCAAATCAATGGTATAGATATATCAAATAAATGTTTTATGTGGAATACACATAATACATTAAGGAAAAAACACTTTTTTTTTTTAAATAATACTAATTTTTAATTTTCCCTTTTAAAAAACATTAACAATTACTAAATTTGCAAACTTATGTGTCAAAAAAATATTCAATTGAACATAATATACATTATTTAACAAATGTTATTCAAAGTATATAGAAACAGATTTATTAAAGTATGACGCAAATGGCAATCATATTTGGAAAAAAACAGCACATAATACGATGTTTCTAAAAACACTTGATCCGGATGAATTATATCTTTGACAGTAAACAATTTTAGTTAGCTATGCATGAAAATATTGTTAAAAATAATTAATATTCCAAGTTTTTCGAACACAATTATTATTTCAAAATGTTGAAATATAATTTAACCTATAAAATAAGGTAAATAAGTTACGTTCTACAAAAAACACTAGAGCAGCAGAGAATTAAAATATTATTAGATTCTTTTCAAACCATGAATACAGATCTGTAAATTCAGTGTTAGAAGACATTTGCTAACTTTAAACTTTGGTACTACTATAATGATTCTAAGAGATGTTTACCTGCCTAAGTTATTCAATGGTACACGCCTGCGTGTAATTGATCTTCAGAATAGTCTTATAGAAGCTAATATTTGCACTGGTTTTGCAAATGTCAAATCAGTTTTTATTCCTCGCATACACATGATTCCATCCAATTATCCATTCGAATTCAAGAGAGTGCAAGTTATTTATATCTTTATCATGATTATAATATTTATGATAAGTTAAACATATAATTTTTGTGATAATCTTTTATTTTATTCATTGTTTATAAGCTTTCATATAAATTATTATTTTTATACTATTATTTTGAAGTCAGTCTTATTACGTTTTAAGAAAAAAAACAGACCTGTAAGGGCTCGGAGACAAAATTTGAATACAGAGATAGATATTTTTTATTTATATTTTTCAATGGTTTTATATGTTGGACGTTATATATGTTTAAGGCTCTATTACAAACGTTATTTTGGTTGATTTACACTTAAAAAGACATTGCTTTTACAGTGAGTTACCCCCAAAAAGAGTGTTGCAAAACATAGTTGGACAACAAATATATAGACACTGTGAATTACGTCGCACTGGTTGCCTTTATATATTTCCTTAAAATTAGACGGGAGGGAGGGGTTCGACATACCCATCAGCACGATGACGTAACAGTGGTGGAGGGTGCGTAAAACAACATAAATTAATTTGGCTTCGTGTGATGATGGTTATCTAATCACAATATTTCTCCGAAAAACGCCGGGTAATTTGGCTAGTATTCGATATATCTTTATAATTGATTTGCATACCATCCTCCTACACAGAAAAAATATAACGCTGTTGGTTGATTTGTGTGGTTGGACACAGCTTAACCTCAGGTTCTTCGTGGCAGCTGAGGTGTCCACTGCACTACACCATGTCTCTTAAACAGAAAATTACTCAACGTTTTTACTCGTGTTTTGACATTACAGCCTGATCTCCATTGCATTATAGTACAGAGTGATTTTTTTATCACGAGCCACTCAACATCTTATAGGGCTTACAAACAAATTACAAATTTTTTTTTAATATTGTTTTTATATAATGTGATCTCAATTTTCACAATTTTTTTTTGTTTTTACCCCCCTCCCAACTTAGTTTTTTTGATAACAACTTTTGAAACTTAAATGGTAACGTATATATTTTATTAACTTTTAAAAGATTTTTAATTTCTTATTAAACCCTATGAAATATTGAATCTGGGAATTATAATATTTTATTGTCATTTGCAAAAGTATATGTATATGTTTACTTTTCGTATTTTTTATTGGCACAGGTTAATCCATTTAACATTTGTATATCTTACATAGACATGTTTAAAAAAAATTATGATTTTGTATTATATCTTTTTTTACAAGTTACAGATATATATAGACCTATCTTCAGACTAATTTTCAGCTCTTTAGTTTTAAACCAAAACAATTTGACATGCCTTATAAATGTTCTATAAAAATTGCGCTTCGATCCGACCGTTTTTCACTAAGATCTAGTGAGTTAAAGTTCGAAGTCTAAAAACCGGCAATTTATTTTCGACGATGTTAATTTTTGGGGGCGAAGGAGTCGATTTTTCTTTTTATGGTACACCAAAGTACCAATAATCACAAACTATTTCGGATATGTAGAGATGATACTCGAGTAAATCGATCCAAAGGGGAAAAAATGTGACCCCTCTTTTTAGGTATTAGGTTTATTTTTCACAGTTTTTCTTAAACAAAAGGATAGCAACAGATTTTTAAGAAAATTGTTTGTTTTTGTTATTGACTATTGTTCCATTCTAGAGTATTCTAAATATGTTCTTTAGATGGGGCACTACCGATAATCGTTGAAAATATATGCATATATTTTACACATAACTAAACAGTTTTAAAATGTGGTAAGTACATAAAAAATAACAGTTAGGGATTGCGTTTACTATAAATGCCATACAACGCAAATAACAACGTTCTTAAGTATCTGTTGCTTAAAGCGAAGTTCACGGTTCAATAGTTACAAACTTAGTTAAATATTCTAAATCCAAGTTTATTGTTCGAATATTTAAAATGTTTTCAAAAACCATGATTTTGTTTTTTTGCGTGGCATTGTATTTTTCGAAATGTCAAGGTGCTCGTCCTAATCAAAATCAACTTGTAAGAATAACGAGTACTGATTAATTATTAATAATAAAATACCTAAGATTGTTGCTTAACAGTGTACAAAATGTAATGTATAGTTTAGAAAAATACTTTAATGTTTAAACAACTTCCATTTTCGCACCGAAGAGTTTTTTAAGTAATATTTTCACTTATAACCAATTTTTGATAACAATATCAAAAAAACGTTAACTAATATGAAATTTATGTTATTATGCTGAAAAAATTTGCAAGTCATTTTATATGTCTGTTAGTTACGCATTTTTAATTTCGTTAAAGAAGGATCAATTTAACTTACAAATTGTATTATACAATTGAATGAGTAATTTTTATTCTTATAACAACAGGAAGCAATAACAAGAATAGTCAATGCGCATGGCGAGCCGGATGGCCTGAGTTACGATGGGCTATTAGAAGTAGTTTCCCAAGTAAAAACGGAAACAGACGCAAATGAAAATTACTTCAATCGTGATGCTGTAGAAGCGAGATTTGAAAGTAATGAATAATATGATAATTTTCAACATATATGTTGAGTAAAATGTACATATCTATTAAAAAGACATTTTAATAATCAAGTCTATCATTTGTAAAACTGTACATTGTAGTCATAAATTACGAACACATTAAATAACTGTCAATGATGAAACCATTTTTGGTGCATACAAAAATATTAGCAAAACATGAGATACATAATCAGATTTTAAAAAAAGACAATACAGTAGGGTGGGGCATAGTGGGGCCGAGGAGGACAGAGGTTGAGAGGAATTATTACAACTGAATATGATAAAATTACTCTCGAATAAATGCTTCGATGCGAATCAGTAGTTAGTATTTTCAAATCAGTAAAATTCAAACCAAGCATAGTATAAACCAGCATAGTAAAAAAAAAGTGAGGTGTTGTGGTTACAAATAGCATCAAAGTGTTTATTTGAAAGTGATTTTATGACGTTTATCAATAAAGCTTCCTGTAGACCCGTGACCTCTCCGTCCCCGCTATGCTTTGATTACATTATTCCTCGACGCTACTGTACTAGTCCTCTCGGATTAAATTACTTTCAAACAAACGCTTTGATGCTAATTTATAAACACTACAGTTCATTTTAACTCTTTTTTACTATGCTTGTTTATACTGTGCTTGGTTTAGACTTTACTGATTTAAAGATACTAACTACTGATTCGCATCGAAGTGTTTATTTGAAAGTGATTTTAATACTTTTAGTTGTAATAATTCCTGTAAGCCTGTGACTTCCCGTCAAAATCATTGTGGCCCAAATAACACATAATTAAACCCTTGTTAAATTTTTTTGGAATGGTAGGTGATTCATGTTTCAACCGTTTGTACTCCATAACTTAAATTATAATCGCTTATTCTCAATAAAAATAATATTTATGTATTATGTGCTTTCATTAGAGTAATCGCACACTAACTCTTTATACTTCATAGATTAAACTATTTCATAGCTCTAATATACTTCTATTTTACTAGCTTGACAATGTACAAAACGAAACCAAACCTTTACAGAGATCCTCAAATTGTATATTTATTTCTTGTATTGTTCTAAAGAAAAATTTAGTATCAAACATTGAAATTAAAAGTAAATCTTAAACTGTGTTGGAAAAAACAATAAATTATACTAACATATATTACTTATTAGTAAGAACTAATTAATGTGAGGTGCGATGTTTATAAATTAGCATCAATGCGTTTATTTGAAAGTGGTTTTATCCTAGAGGACAAGTACAAACTTTAAAACTCGTATGGTTCGTTTGTTAAAATTTAAACTGTTAAGAAGTAAACTTTTCCAATTTACCGCCCCCTCCCCCCAACTAGATAAAATTTTTAATTTACAGAGTTGCTATAATATTAAAAATAAAATGTTGTAACACAATAATACACTCAAATCCTTTGCTATTAAACTTGCCGTATATCATTTTTTAAAAATATATACACAATTGTATTCTTTCAGACACCTATTTTACGAAAGAAGAAGTTGTATTTTACACCCGAATGATTCTAGGTGACAATGAATCGGCGGTAAATATAAAACTAAATTTACTATACTACAGTTTAAAGGTTGGTTAGATTATGTTTATTTGAAGTATTCAAACTTTCAATTATTCTATGCAAAATTGATTTTATTTATTCTTATAAGTATAATAAGTGTATAAAATGTATGATAAATACATTTCTTAGATTATTGCTGTTATATATGCAAAATGTAAATTAATGTCTTAGAAAATTAATCCTATATTGTTAACGTTCTTATTATTTTGCAAAAAATGTTTTATTTGTAAATGGTAATGCACATTTTAATGTCTATTCTTATTCTAATAACAATAGGGGTATGTAAGAGCTTTATACGATGCCAATCCATATGGGAATGAAGTAAAGTTTCTTCAACTAGGTCTTCTCGTTCAATCAGCAGCACAAAATAGGCATAGGGATGTATCCCCTAATACAATTGACATATTGAAAGCGGAATTGTTAAGTAATACACAATAAAAAAATATTCAATAAATATGTTGAGAAAAATGTTCAAAAACTAGACATTTTAATAATAAAGTCTATCATTAATTGCACGACTATAAATTATATACTTTTTTATCAAAATGAAATGTATCATGTAATTTTACATTATTATTCTTCAATTACGAAAATTTGAAAAAATAATCTTCTGTTAGTGGAAAACATATTTTTCTCAATATATTTGTCGTTGAATTGGCCTGGTTCGTTTGATTAAAAAATGTATAATACTTTGTACTTTCAGGACTCATGTTTGTTTTTTGGACAAAAGATTATATGATTCGCCAGATTAGTGAACATTTATCTTTTTAATTATATTATTAACTATAATTAAATTAATGCATGTGTGTACTATGTAGTATGTCACATACAAAAATGTAGTCTTGATTGATTAATAAACCATTTTGCTCCTACATTTTGTTAGTATTTATTTTATTACTTCCTTTAACTCAACTGGATAATATTGAAGTTATAGACTTTTTGGTGTCTAAAACCCAAGATTCTTCAACAAAAATAGTCGAATTAGTTCTAAATTTGTATGGACTGTTATAAAGATAAAGTACTAACGATAAACATGAACAAACCAAAAAATTATCAATAAGCTATTCCACCAGAAGAGTTGGCGACTTTTTCTATATTTATATTTTTCGTGCGAAGGTTTTGATTTTAAGAACTAGAAGTTAGACTGTAGAAAGATCTACGATAACGGGGCTATCAATAATTTAAAATTAAAACTTTTGAATTTTGTTAGTTTGAAAACATAATTAAATAAATTCGTTCTCTGTTAGGATGGTTCCTTAACACCTACAACCACCCAGTTTCAATGTTTGCCTACATTTGTTGAACATTACTATTTTTTTATATTATCGATAATATAGGCCTTCAAATACATATTACTTCAAAATATATTATATGTAAGTATGTAAGCGTCACCCATTAGACGATCGAGGATCTATCCGGCGGTGGCGACCGTAATTACCACTCGGCACATTCCGGAGTCACGATACGACCACGTCAGAGTTAGCCAACAGAATTATCAGAACACTAGAGTTGACAACGTTAAGTGAACAAACCGATAACGGTTAACACGGTGACGTGTTACCGTGTTAACCACGGTCAATTTTTGTCATTTAGTCACTATGGTGATGCATTCGCAAACGTTGATTTTAATACTAGAATGGATTGCTGTAATTTGTTGTACACGCGTTGTGTCAAATGAAATGAGTCAATTGCAAAAATATGAAATTGATTTTATCCGAGAGGACTACTACTGTAGAGCATTGGCGTAATGGAATCAAAGCATAGAGGGGACGGAGGGGTCACAGTTCTTCAGGAATTACTATAAATAAAATAGATAAAACCACTTTCAAATAAACGCTTGGGTGCTTATTTGTAAATACAGCACATCAGTGTAATACTTTCTAACTTTGCTGGTTTACACTGTGCTTTGTTTGGACTGTACTGGCTTGAAAATACTAAATACTGATCCGCGTCAAAGCGTTTATTCGAAATTGATTTTATCACTTTCTGATGTAATAATTCCTTTAAACCTGTGACCTCACCGTCCTCACTATGCCCCGACACCACCATTCTCCGTTCTCACTAAGCCTTGACTGTACTGGCTTTTAGCTTCGATGCAAAGCGAGAAGGTATTGGTTTTACTCTGATGTGTGTTTTTTTTTTATCTGTATACACTGTAACTTTTTTAATACTGGACCAATTCCTTCGAGTAGCAACTCTATAAATTGCAAATTTCATCTAGTTGGTACTTTGGGGGGGTAAAAGTTTAATTCTTCACAGACGAAAGTTGAAAAAACAAAAAAAAAACCGTACGAGTTTTTAAGTTAGAACTTTTACTGGCTATAATTTCGAGAAAAAGAGTCGGATCAAGTTGAAATGTATAAGAAATAATTATTTGGTATGCCCGCACACGTCAGTTGTGTCAAACTTAAACTATACCCATTTCCCACCCCCCTAGGGGGGGTACAATTTATTTTGTTTTTCCGGGTTTTTAGCGGTAATTTTAAAACTTTTGGGTTGAAAATTTGCCCGTTTCACTATCCCACCCACATTTTAAGGATCTATGAAAAGGTTTTTTTAGTTGCATTTTATTTTGTGCCTTGTCAATCTAGTAAAATAGAAGTATAATATAGCTTTGAAATAATATAATCTATGAAGTATAAATAGTTTGTGTGAGATTGCTTTAATGGAAGTATATAATACATAAATATTAATTTTATTGAGAATAAGCGATTATAATTTAAACTATGGAGTACAAACGATTGGAACATGAATCGTCGACCATTCCAACAAAATATAACAAGACATTGTATATGTGTTATTTGGTCCACTAAGTTTTTGCAAAAAAAAAAAAACCAGTACAGTGGGGTCGGTGCATAGTGGGGACGGAGCATAGTTGGGTCGGGGCATTGTGGGGATGGGGAGGTCACAGGTTTACAGGAATTTTTAAATCTGAAAGTGATAAAATCACTTTCGAAAAAACGCTTCGATGCAAATCGGTAGTTAGTATTTTCAAGCCAGTACAGTCCAAACCAAGCACAGTATAAACCAGCAAAGTTAGAAAGTTTTAAATGAAGGTTCTGTATTTACAAATGAGCATCAAAGCGTTTATTTGAAAGCAATTTTATTCAATTTTATCACTTTGATGCTATTTGTAACCACAACACCTCACTTTTTTTTTACTATGCTGGTTTATACTATGCTTGGTTTGAATTTTACTGGTTTGAAAATACTAACTACTGATTCGCATTGAAGCATTTATTCGAAAGTAATTTTATCATATTCAGTTGTAATAATTCCTCTAAACCTCTGTCCTCCTCGGCCCCAATATGCCCCGACCCAACTATGCTCCGTCCCCACTATGCACCGACCCCACTGTACTGGTTTTTTTAGGGATGGGGTTGGTGAGGCGTCTTCTTCGATCCACGCCTGGTGTCTGGCTAGTACCTACTTATAGGGGTTCGTTCATTACTTATACACACAAATAATAGCCTTTTCATAGAAACTATATTAAACTATAAAACCTACAAACAATTATTCGGTTCGGTAGACACTTCAGAAAGTGACTCCTTGTTTTAGTTTTTATTTGTAAACCATTTACGATTTCCAAGAATGTAACTTAATAGTATTAATTTGTAATATTGCGAAAAATGTATTTTTTCAACAAAAAAAAAAAATAATTGCTGGAAACATATTTTCGTTTCCAAATGTGTATTTAGGCACAACATATAAGGTCGCATGTTCGTTTTGATAGCCAAAAAATAAAAATTTAGGTCACGACGGTGCTGTTTATGCGAATTTTTTGTTTTTTTACCAAAAATGATTTTTTTTCCTACAGTAAACTGAATTTTGTGTATAAAAACATTATCAGTTAATGACACATTAACAGCATTACAACATTAGGAATCTATAAAATTCATTAATCATTGATCGTTTATTTTTTTCAAGTTCCTATCCGATAATTATCATAAAAGAGATTTCATGTACACTTAGTAAATTTAAAAATTGAAGCTGAAGCTCCCTCCATTGAATTATGTTGTCAGACTTATAAACTAAAATTAAAGTGGTTTCATAAAAATGACTCATAATTTGTTTTTCTTTAGTCATCACTAGAAATATAAATAATGAAAAAAGTGGAGGTTAGGTTGTTATGCTAATTATGCTGTTAGTGGAATCTAAAAGTGTGAACGCCTTTTGAAGAAATGTGAATTAGAATCAAAGATATCCAGTAATAAACAAAATACATATATATTATAACTAGACACAGTCAATAGTTACATATAGTTAGTAGTTTTATGTGTTTGTATTAACTACTGCAATCTTGTCAAATACTACAAGTTACAACAATAAAATATTTAAATATAATTATATCGCTATTTTGGGAAGTTGAATTAAAAGTCACTATACTAATTCATAAACATATACATGCAAAACCCTTATATGTCTAATCATTAATATTTTATTTTTAAACTTGCATTTCAATTTTAGTTGAAATCATTGATTGCTAATATTATTTATAATCAGTAAATCTCTTTCTTACACATAACGAATCAATTCGTTTTTTTTTAAATTTTATAAAGTTTTTTTCCACAATTTTTGTATAGCTTTATTATTTTATTCTATGACCCAAAAATTGCAAATACCATACGATATTACATTATGGTTTGTCGTTTATCGAAAATAAGTTGTTTTACTTAAACAAATTTTGGCTAGTCGTTTGTTTATTCAAATGTGTGAACTATGTTACATTAACAATGACGAATAACTATTTTGTACGTTAAGATACATAATTATTGTTCAAATTGTTCCAATGTAAGCATTTATAGTTAATACATTTTATTTGATTGTAAAGAACATGTACCTATAGTGATACTATTTTTTTAATTGAATCAAATTAAATAATGAAGATGAATTAAAATATTATATTCAGAGATCGGAAAATATGAACACAATGATAAAAAAATGTATTATCTAGAATATAAGACATACGTAGGTGAATGTTTTATAAGTATTGATATTGGTGGTTATACAAAATCATTCTTTGCTACAATATCTGTAACAATATGGTATATTGCCATGCAATAAAATTCAAATGTTCAAACAAGAAAATACGAAAAATGTATAAATTAAATAAATGTAGTATGTTTCTTTTTAGACCTTTGTTTAACACAAATTATAATATTGCAGACAGGGAAATATAGGACACAGAAAATAAAAATACACTGTGCCTAGATTTTGTTAGATTAATACCGAACATAATTTAAGAGAGCAACTTCTTTTATTAATTTGTAACACTACGAAAAATGTGATTTTTCAACAAAAAAAAAAAGCTCGTTGAAAACATATTATTGTTTCCAAATGTGTATTTAAGCACAAAAATATGCGGTCGCAAATTCGTTTTGATAGCCAAAAAAATAAAAATTTAGGTCACGACGGTGCTGTTTATGCGAATTGTTGTTGTTAAAAATATACTATGATAAACAAAAATTTAGGATACGTTATCGCTATGATCTCTATGCGAATAGAAAAACCTGTGTATTATAGTAAGTTTCTAAAAAAAATTCATAAATATTCAATAAAGTTAAAATACATTAAGTTGCATTGTTCAAATAGTCTTTAAATGCAAGTTTTTTTGATACTTAAATTTTTACACCCTCCCACAAAATATTATAATTTTTCACTTATAATATAAAACTAATTGTAATATTACAAAAATCTAATAAAATTACTTATCCACGCTGAGACGATGTAGAAGAAGAACATATTATGTGTACATTAGCTATGACTCATATTTTCATGTTTCATACAAATGTCAACTTATTTTATAATTTATAAGACATTTTTTTTATCTACAGTTAATTGAATTTTGTTTATAAAAATAT